CTCCTTCTTTTCTCTACAATAAGCTAGATGCTCTATCTATTGAATAATACCGCCGACTTCGTGCGCACAACCGACTTCATAATTTATACGTTGCCCTCTCGATTTAATTTGTTCGAATTGCGCGAGAACACAATAAATTATATTGTGTATTTTGTCCCCATTCATTTTGTTTCCGTTTCTTTCTCGAATAACCCCTTTCATTCCGGGATTATACCACAGGACCACGCGTAAACCTTCCCGCCATTCCCCGCCCTAGCTAAGAAGCCGCTAAGCGTGACGGAGCCGCTCGCGTCGCGCGCGTCCCTGCCTACACGGGACGTAACAATATACATAGATTGATACTTTTTTTTATGAAATACGTAGTTGCTACATATCGTTGTCAGAATGATAAAAAAAGATAGTATTTAATCTTGCATCATATACAAATTCACGCATAAGCACATACACACACATAGAGAGAGAGAGAGAGAGAGAGAGAGATAGAGAGAGAGATAGAGAGAGAGAGAGAGAGAGAGAAATACTCACGCACGTACGGCCGCACACACATATATTTTCAAGATCATTCTCTCAACACAATAACAATTCAAAGCACATGTACATATTAATCAATATAGTTACTTATAGCTAATGCTACATTGACTTTACTTCAGTATTGCGCCGGAAATTCGCACAGTACCAGCTTGCTCGGACAAGACACACAGTTCTTTTATAAACATCCGAAACGTTGTTCATTGCTGGAAAATGATTGTCACAGTACTTTTACTACTTATTACTATTGTCCTTATAGCATTCAGTTTAGATTTTTATGTGCATTACAAAAAATCCGGAAAATTGGTCGATCAAATACCAGGACCAAAAGGTATTCCCATTCTGGGCAATCTACTGCAAGCATCTCTGCCACGCGGTAAGTGGAAGTTCTCGAAACATTTGCTATTAATTAATTAATAATTCAGAAATGTCTGACATATTTTTCAGTTGCTCAAGGAGATTTCGAGCTATATGTTAACATAAAATTAGATAGTATATGGCATTAATTTTTTTCCTTTCTCTCATTTGTTATTCTTCATTGCTTTAATTTATCATGCTCAATTTTAGCTTCTGCAATGGTATAGCGTATTTAAAAGAATGGAAACGTTAACAACATATTTTCCGCATATCGTGATATATAATATATTTGCACGGATTTCAGACAAACTTTGGTTGTTTTTTTGTAANCGTACTATGATGGACAAATATTATCCTATTAATAAAATTTGGGGGCTCCATATACCTATCGTATCTATCCGTCATCCAGATGATCTAGAGGTATTAAATGAAAAGAAAAATTATAATAACTTGCGGGAAAGTGTATATGTTTTAAAAAATTATTTTTAAAGTTATTAAAAATCAGAAAATTTGCAATAATGAAACTTTTTGTATACTGTTATTTACGTATCGATAAAAGATTTAATTTTCTCGAACATGGTCTTTCAAAAGCAGAATTTGAAATTGTTTAGTCGTAAAACGTTCAATTAATTAGAACAGCTTCATATGAATTTCAGCGTTATAATAAAATGATACTGTACACAATGCGTCTCTTATGATTCCAGGTAATATTAAATAATACGAAGAATATAGAAAAAAGTATCATATACAAAATTTTGATTCCTTGGCTAAATACTGGACTTCTTACCAGTGGAGGTAATGTAGCAAAAATTAATATCATAAATAGACGCATATACGAGGTCTGCGCGGAAAATATCCAACTTAGTGCTGAAGAAAGAGTTAAATTTTGTCCAATAACGTGTTCCTTCCAGTGTACTTCTTTTTGGAAGCCATAACTTTCTTCCAGAGATCTTTCCACTTTTGGAAACACTCCTTATGTTCAACATTCGGACGTACGCTTCCAATTATTGAGTACTGTGTACTGGAGCATATAATTCATTATACATTTATTACGATGAAAAAAAAAGTATCGTATTGTAATGTCGGAAAACATATAATTTTACACACACACAGACTTAAATATTTTCTCAAGCTGATAAAGCAGTATCACTTATTCATTGTAAGCTCACGAGTTTACAAGTGAGATCTAATGTAAAAATATATGTCTCCGGTCACATACGAATAGCAATTAAACCGTGCCGTGCGA